GGGGGGGGGTTATATCTCGTGCATCACAGGTGTATGCAAACAAACTCTTAGTATGTGAAGAATGGGCGTGTGATAGAAACTCCACACCACTCCCACTGGTCGACATGGAGCTTAAGCAACAACCACGGCGACGGCTTCGTAAATGTCAGTTAAAAATTGTGTTCGCGCTCCTTAAAACGTTATTGCGCTTATTCCATCTCGTGCTATTCATCAGATCTTGGCGAATCTTTCTTGTTATAATCACCGTACTTTCACTATGTAACCTAACTTAGTTGTGCTTAGAAAAAAAAACAAACAAACAAACAAACAAAACAAACGAAAAAAAATCAGATATTAATATAATAGATTGCAAAATAATATACATTTTCTGTTTTCTTAGTTCCTAGCAGGGCACCGTCATATATCCGACTTTCAACGTTACAGTTTGTTGAGGTGAAAGTACAGTGGAATCCACTCTCCCAGCAATACGCCAATGGACGTCTCCTTCGATACAAAGTCTACTATAGGGAATACAAACGTTACTCATACATGTATTATGCAAACAGTGTTAACACTAGAAGTGCAAATGTTACTATGGTGATACTGAGAGACCTGAAACAGGCTACACGTTATCAAATAGCAGTGACAGCCTTTACTTCTAAGGGCGAAGGACGACGCTCGTCTTGGTATTCAGTAACTACAGGTGATGCATTTGTTTGTAGGTGATACTTATTGCTATGTCTTTTCTTTTAGAGTGAGTATTTTGGGCAACTCGATATTATTTAGTTGCGGGATTGATCAAATCGCCATCAAATTATCTATGAATAAATGATAAATGTTTCATCTCAGAAATGTAATAGCAATGTGCAAAATGTTAACAGCAGAAACATTGACTACGTATATAAATTATTAAATGTCTGTGATAGTCCCATTTAATTTCACATTTTTTTACGGCAAAAATTTAATCATTCCTAATCGTTAATTCAAAGCAAAGGAAAAAAATGCCACTGTTAATTCTATATTAACTCCAGAATGAGGTGGAATCTCTTCTAACAGCCACTGTCAGTTCTCCACAACGGGAAGCTCGTTTTGTCCCGTTTATGTATTGTTTTTTGTTTTGTTTGCTTGTTTTTTTTTTTTTCTGTCTGTTTGTTTTTGTTTTATTTTTTCATGTGTTTTTCTGTTTACAATCGTCAGCCGTTGTCATTAGCCTATTACCCCTGTCTCTATCCTCGGAGACCTAGGGGCGGTCAGCTGGGTCGGGGGAAAACTGGCCAAAGCTTTCAAAAACGGGCGAGAGAGCCCCTGGGATTCAATTAAAACGTAGACAAGGAAAACGCAAATTTAATGCTTGGAATTGTTGTGGCCTTTATAATGCTTTTCTTTTAAATCTTCGAAAAAGAATGCGACAGCCTTATGTGCTTAGTTTTTTTTTAAATATATTTATATATATTTAAAGCCCGATTTTTGATAAGTTATCGTCAAATGGACTTTTTGCGTCTCCAAAGTAGCTAGTAGAGACCTTTAGCATCGGGCTTTTCATGGAAAACCGCAAACCGCAAACCGCAAATCGCAGTTTGCAGTTACGCGTTTGCAGTTTCACGTTGCTGAGATTTCAAATTTTAGCAAGGCGTCGAGTTGAGTTGAGTTGAGTTCATTCTTATTTAGCCAAAATATCATACAATACAAGTATACATATAGGAATTGTAAGGTTGCAAGGGAGCCCAGAAGAAACCAGGAGGCTTATGAAGCCTGGGCTCCCCTGTCACACTAAAATAAAATAAAATTCGTGGAGTGATAATTTTATGTAAAAAATAGGAATTAAACAGAGAATGAGTTAAGTTATGGATTAGTAACAAGATCAAAAAAAAAAAAAAAAAAACTCTGGATTGGAACAGAAAACTTTCTTATGTTAGTACAGCAGAAAGGAACAATATAAAATCAATTTGAACTGTGACGCGTTCATTGTTTAGTGTCGCCACGTTCTTTTTCATCAAGTCGAAGTGCATCACTTTTATTGCCCAAGACACAGGAATAATTCACTATTTTGAGATCAATAATCCAACAAACATATCGTAAAAGGATATAAAAAGCTAGTTCGTGCCTTTAAACGCGAGGCTGTACAATTTTTAGCGGCAAAAAACCTTGCCGTAANAAAAAAAAGGAAAAAAAAAAAAAAAAAATTAAATTATGGAATAGTAACAAAAACAAAAAAAAAAAAAAAACAACTCTGGATTGGAACAGAAAACTTTCTTATGTTAGTACAGCAGAAAGGAACAATATAAAATCAATTTGAACTGTGACGCGTTCATTGTTTAGTGTCGCCACGTTCTTTTTCATCAAGTCGAAGTGCATCACTTTTATTGCCCAAGACACAGGAATAATTCACTATTTTGAGATCAATAATCCAACAAACATATCGTAAAAGGATATAAAAAGCTAGTTCGTGCCTTTAAACGCGAGGCTGTACAATTTTTAGCGGCAAAAAACCTTGCCGTAAATCACTTACCGCTGGAAGCCCTTCCTGCGGTTCAAACGTGAACTGCAAACTGCAAACATGACCGCAAGGCCGTGGTCACGTGACATTTTGCGGCTTGCGGTGTTCTATGAAAACCCTGATGCTAAATGTCTCTATCTCCTTCTTTCCGAAGGAGATAGAGATAATGATGTTAAATTAACGCAGTTCCGGAGAGGAAGAAAATGACGGTAAGGCGGTGAAAGGAACCCTCCAGACGTTTCTTTTTAGGCCGAACAGTCCGACCAATCTTTCTAATACCTATTTAACTTCTTGGCATTGGTTATTCCATAGGTTGCAGACGATATATAAATCAATCATTTGGCCTGCTACAGTTTGGCCCAAAAGGTTATTATGGTTCTCTGCTGTGCACCTGGTCAATTGGAAATGCAGGAATCGAACAAGCAGTTGCACTTATGTCAATACAAGATCTCTACGTGCCATCTTTCTAGTGAGTCAAACGAAACAATGTCTTCCATAGGGAAATAAATAACTAAGATTTGTTCGTTTGTTTTTGTTTTTGTTTTTGTTTTTTTTGAAACCTAAGAGTTGTTCTGCAAAATTTAAAGCTTGTAAGGTACGATATCATCGGAAAGGGATACACAATTTTATTATTATTATTATTATTATTGTATTGCTTGGATGTGTATTATGCAAAAGTGTTAAATGATGAATGATGGATGGATGGACGGACGGAGGATAATTTAGATAATAAAATGGGTGCTTGCTTGGTTGGAAAGGTGTAAGGAAGAAACGACAGTGAGAATACATGAGTGAAAGGAGGGATAGTAGTTGATTGCATGGTCGCGGGTTTGATAGCCGTATGAACGGGGAAAAGGTACATTATATAAATGGGAGGAAGAAAGATGTTATTATGGAAGAAGATAAGGAAAAAATGGAAGGAGTGAGGAAAGGATGAGGCAAGAAAGGGAGGAAGAACTGAGGGAGTGGGGGGGGGGAGGAAGTAAAGAAGAAAGGAAGGAAGAGAATAATAACTGTTTGTTTTAGGGAATAAACTATGGTTAAGGATGGCTAGGTTACCACTATCAATGACAAGACATGCTTTTTCCCCCTTTATTTTGCAGTGAATACATAAAAATAATCGATGGGAACGGTACAACTGTGCTTGCTCGCAATGGATACTCAGCGACTCGTCAAAAACCTTTCGCGGAAGTTTCTTTTGGAAACCATAAAAATATCACCGTTCAAATATACAGTTATGGTTACAGTAGAGCCAGGCTTCAATTCGGAATTCTACCGCAGGGATTGCAATTGGGTTAGTTTCATCCTTATATAGTTTACGCAACGTTAATAATGCGAGCTTTTGTTTTTCGTATCTAAAACAACTACCTAACATAACAATCTCACCCAAAAATGTACAAATCTTGGTGGCTTACAACGCTTTGTGTCGGTCATTCCACTGAAACCTTAGCCTGCAGTGCAGGCGTATTTTGGGTGGGCGAAACCTTGTTCGTGTTCGTAATATTGTTGTAGCCGCCATGTTTGATTAGGCGAAAGGGCGAAAGAAGGAAAGGAGGCGAGGGGAGGGGGAGGGGAGAAAAAAAATACGTCTGCACGATATCATTGTTCTTTTGGGAAACTCCGTAGGCTGGCAAACGGAGCTCCTGATTGGTGCGGCGTAGGGAAGTAGATTGATGCCTGTCAATTAACTGTAAGCTTATAACAAATAAGGCAAAGGCAGTCAGAAAACCTTAACCTCGCCGACCCTTACAATGCACATAATGCGTTACTCTTTCAGTTTCGATAAAGATGATTGGTCATCAGGACAAGATGTGCTCGTAGTACTAAAACCTACACCACTTTTACCTCATGCCAAAGTGCTGCTTGTTCCAATGGTTTTTTTTCTGGCGAGTAGATTATGCTCTAGAGGGTTCCATGTTTTGACTGAGCAAAAGTGATTTTAGCCGCTTGTTTCACACTGAGAGGTCATGACACGCTTATTGATTTTCTGAGGTTTTTGAATTTCTGGTCTTCATGGTTTGCCCTCTGATGCACAGCGTTTTCTTTGACCTCTTTTGAAGCGTAAAGCTCTTTTTCTCGCTAAATAAGGCTGTTTGGTTCTTTATTTTTGTCCAAAGTGCCTCAGGATCTGACTAACTAAGCTATTTTCTTTCTAGTCCGAGAATGTGATGTTTTCCTGCAATGTTGTATCACGCTGGGCCCAGCTCGTTAGTTTTTAAAATTGTTTGCAAGATGTTTTGAACTCCCACGGATTGCGATTTACAGAGATGAATTTAGAAGAATGAATTGCAGCTTAAACTGAAGCTTCATCAGCTGTTACTCAGTCAAGATAAAAACAATGATAAACTCCAGCTTGTTTTTCTAAAGACAATGCGAGTCTTTGGACTGGAACGACTGTTTGGTTGTTTTGTTATTGTCGGCTACTCATTTCCGGAGGAGCGGTCACGCGCGTCTAATTAGGGGGTGTTTCTCATTTTCACAATGTTTTCGGGCAGGCGTTTTCTCTTCTCTCTCACCGCCCCCTCACCGCCCCCTCCTCGCTCCCCTTGACTCGCCCCATCTCCTCCTCTCATCGGGAAGTTTCAACATGGCGCTTTCGCGAGCAAATTGCGCGCACAGAGAAAACGCCTGCACTGCAGGCTACTGAAACCTCTGGAAACTATTAACCAAGGAATCTTTTTCCTTGCTCATGTCTATTCCTGTAAAAAAATCATTGTAGTCCTAGAAGTATTTTTTTTCCATTGGTTACCATACCAATTTTCCAGATTTATCCTCATTTATACATATTTTCTTAACTGACAACGACATCAATAGTAATTGTAAAATAATAATAAAAAATTGTAATAATAATAATAATGATAATAATAATAATAATAATAATAATAATAATAATAATAATAATAATAATAATAATAATAAAAAAACATCGTGGGTCCACATGCTAAGTAAGACCAGTGCAGAGTGCAGAGCTCAAACTTTGAAACGTGTAATAAACACCCTAGAAAGCACCCAACTTGATTTGTTTGTATTAATATATCAATTCTAAACTCGGCTGACATATTTTAAACATATTGCATGGTTTACACAAAGGTTGATTAAAACGGTTACATGATTTTAAAGGAGATGCAGTAAGCCATTCTTTCTCAATCGGAGCGTTGCGTATGATTGTGGAAATTAGTGTTCTCCTGTTCCACCATCGCTGTATAGTAATCTTTTTTATTATGATCGTCAATTGTAAACTTTCCTGCTTCCTTTTTAGCTCAGCTAGTGTCCAGTTGGAGCTTGTCTCTTGATAACAAAACAGCAACCAGCATGCAAGTTTCTTGGAAAAATCTATCAGCATTGCTGACCCAAAGCGTTCTTCACTATATAACTGTCATAAAAAGTAGCGATGGAAGCATCGTGAATGGAAATATCCTGCAAGGAAACACCACATCTGATGTTTTCTATGGGCTGTCGCCATATATGGAATATCGACTCAATGTTCTTGGTGTAAATGGTAACGGAAAAGCTTACAAGAGTTCAGAGGCCACAGGGTGGACTGAGGAATCGGGTATATTCAAAAAAATATATTATTGTTAGCCATGCCTGTCAAAGCCCAGTTTCTAAACCATTTCCAAAAGGCCTTCCACGAGTTGCCTTAAGCTTCTTTTTCAAAACGAGGCTAAATGCAAAGCCATTGTTGTTATTTTATTGAAAATAAAAATCCTTTTCGCAGCAAAGATTTTGCACTAAGCCTCGTTTTGATAGTGAGAGTTTTCCGATCTCTTAAATGGCCTATTAATCCTCGACATCAATCTCTTGTTGTAAATGTTAGATAAGGTCTTTTAAAATGGATATCACCTCAAAATTGATAAAATTTGGAGGAATTCTACGAGCTTCCAGCTTAAAAACGAGGTACAATTTGCGTGAATCGGATAAAACTTGCGAACTTTACGCTCGGTTAACAGAGTACGACATTTGTCTATTTGAGCAGCTTTTAACCACGAGTTCGGGTAGATAGTCCCCTGGGTCGAGTGAGACGATGACGTATTTTGAGGCATTGTTCTTAGCTCCGCCTCGCTTTGTTGTAGCTTCTGCCTTGACTCCTGTTCTATCGCTCTCTGTCTCTCTTCCTATTGTACTATTGGAAAAACTGTTGCCTGGCCCAAAGGCTCGTCCGCGTAAGGAATTGCAACATCGTCATATTCAGCTTCTCCTCTCGCTCACGAATTACATTTGGTCATAATTTTCAACTTTTTCTTGGACGTTTTACTGGATATTCGGTAAAAACCCAGGAATAAAATTTCATCCCAATTCGTCAGAATCGACACTTGATATGCTTTAAGAGTGAGGCATCTTATTTAGCTGGGAAGATGGTGGTTCAACTAAGACTAAGCAACGACGAGAGCAACGAGAACAGCAAAGAAACAATTAATAGGTTTTGATTAGTTAAACGATAGTTTTGCAAGTGCATCACGTTTTTTTTTGTACATTTCTTTGCCGTCGTTGCACGACCACGACGTGAAACAGATTCCCTAATTCCTTTTTTAAACCTAGATACACTCCTTTGGAAAATAGCTCCACAAAAATTCACCAACATTTGACAAATTGAACGAAATGTGACATGGAAAAAGAATGATGAATATTTGAACAACGTGGATTCACTGTTTAAGAGACCCAATCCCACAAGACGTGGAAGTCTGACATGCGCACTGGGCATTTTAAGGAGAACAATGCCTCAGAATACGTCACCCGCCCCAGGTCCAAAATGTCACGGCCTAAGATATTAATCCAACATATTTAAAAGTCAGTAAAAAATTCAGATCTATTTAAAATCAAAAACAATCTGAGGCAACGTTTATTAGAAGTTTATTATTATTGTTATTATTATTATTATTATTATTATTATTATTATTATTATTTTATTCTATGTCAAAACAAATTTGGGGTGAAATGCACTTTTAAAACTCTTTCGGTGCGGATGTCGAGCATTCTCGACACGCGTTTTCGAGTTCCCCAGTGCGAATGTCGAGTCTTCTTGACATTGTAAACAATCCCAGAGTACCTTTCAGAAATGCAGTCTATATGGGGATCTATTCAATGGAATTGCCGCCATACCAGTAGATGCAGTGAACGTGACTAGTTCTGACATTTATTGATGGTCAACTAACGGCTGAGGCGAAATTTTTGTGGAGGTTCGTATTTCAGTCCGAGAAAAGAAGAAACGTGACATCGACGCCATGTTAATTTTCCGTCGCATCATTATGTCAAGGTTTTCTTTAAATTTCGAAGTTCATTTTAACAAGTACAGTCGTAAAGAAAGGCGTTGGAAGAAGTCACATTTATAAAGTTGCGATTCAAGGCAAAGGTAAGCATTTATTTTATCTTTTTGGCTGTGTTTTTAATTAGAGGGAATTGAATAAGCACATTCCTGAGTTGTTAGTTTGTACGTGCAATTGTAAAATTCACCCCGTGATAAATATGCCGTTGCATTAGCTGAATGAATTATATTCTGCGATATAGCAGCAGGGAAAGCTTGTCTATTGAAGAAAATAATCTTCCTTAGTTCTTTTGAACGGCTATAGTGCCTTAATTGGCCAGAAAGTTACTGTAATGTATTGTTTACACTCTGGGAACTTTAAAAATGGCGTCAAAGCATATCATGCGTAAGAGTGTGACTAGATGACGTTTTGGAAGCTGTTCTGGCAGGTTCTGACTCCGACGTCGATGATGCAAAATGTGAATAGAGCGATGGTGTTTTAAAAGAGAGCGAGTCATTGAGTTTTCGTGACCATGGTGAGGTTTCGGATGAATCTATGAATGTGGAAACTGAAGACGCCATGGCGGCTTCTCCTGCTTGTTCTCCTCCAAGGATAGACAACTTGTTTAGGAAGACGCGGCTTTCTATAACGATTTAGATCAAAGCTGGATTCCCCGTTTCTTAAAAGAACCAGTGTTATGGTGGAAACTGCTGATTTTGGGCCTGTAGATGATTTCAAGCTCTTCTTTCCTGACAATCTCTTTACTCTTTTTAATACTTGTGAGCAAACAAACCTATTTGCTGAACGGTTCTTTGACAATCCAGTAGATTGTAGTGAACATAGTGAGCTCCTATTATAAATTTTCAGCGTTTGTTTATTTTTTTTTTTCAGATAGTGGTGCCAAGGAAGTGCCGCCCTTAAAAACTGCTGTTGTTATGACAACCAAGGCTGTCATGTGACAAATCATGTGACTAATTAGGTCAAGCATCACATGTGATGTGCCCTATTTAATTTTCGTTGACAATTGTAAATGTCATGACGATATTTAAAATAGAAGAGGAGAAGTCAGATTACCAGAAAGGGCTTCAAAATGCAAATAATGAAGAAAATCAACAGTAGTACTTAGCGTTGCCATTGACCAGAAATGTCACTGCTGTTCTAAAAATCTTGATTTTACCACTTGATCGCTTTGTTTAGGGTCTGCTTGTGTTGTTTTCTTTACATGTTCATTAGATTTAAATATGTCTTTTATAAGAATGGCAGCAGGAGATCACCATGCTTAAAAATAATATGCTACCTATGTGACTTTCCATATGATTTCGTGACAGGTCATGTGACTAATTAGGTCAAACATCACATGTACTGATGCGTAATTTGATTTTCTCTGACACCTGTAAAAGCAAAGAGGAAATTGATTATAGGCTAGCAGTAATCTCAGATTAGGAAGTGCGTTCGAGCTTTTTTAGGTTTACTGTCAAATGTGACGTTATTTCCTAATAAATTGATGTTGCAAAACGGTTCCTATATGTTTTTTTTTTTAAAGAAACAAAACGACTACAAAAAAAAGAAGTTGAACCCGAGGACCTTCGACGTGTAACGTGTAAAGGAACCTGGCATCCTCAGTGTGAATAGGGCTTAAGCACGTATCAAACCATGGGATGTCTTTGGCGCCATCCAATATGGCTTCGGCCTATCGTGGTAGAGCTTTTGTGCAAATGAACATTATAAATGTTGTCAGGTGTAGAGGTGTATCGATGCAAAAAAACAACAAAAAAAAGGTTAGGGCGTAGATATCAAAAGATGATTGTTGATTTCACATATTCTTGTTTAAGGTAGGTTTCAAAACGCCTGAAAATCAACGAGAAGAACTTGCAAAAAATGAAATAAAATTTTCAAAAATAAAAACCGTCGGCGTTGTTGTAAAAGCAAGACGGATAGTGCAGCGATAGAACGAAGATTAAACCTGTGGAGGCAAGGGGATTTAGATCTCTTGCTAAAAGAGGTTTGATTCCTCCAAAGGAAAGTTTGTGAATTCGAAAAAGGCTAGGACAGTTGAGGACATGTCCAAAGTTTTTGCGAAACTAGTTTGCCAAGGAAAGCTCAAGGCTGACGGCAAGGTTTTGAGAGAAGAACAAGAAATCTGTTAAAGATAGCTTACCATCCATCCTTGCTGAAGGGCTATACCTCTTGCTGACTCATCCCCTTAGACAAAAACCCTGGAATACGACCTATTCGTGTTGGTGAGGTCCTGAGGCGAATTGTTGGAAAAACTATTCCTGGTTTTTTGAAGAAAGAGATCAAAGAGGCAGCAGGTCCCCTTCAGGTTTGCGCAGGCCATAGCGCAAGCTCAGTTGCCGCGATACATGCTGTGCGTCAAGTGTTTGTAGAGGAAGGAACAGATGGTATTTTACAGATAGATGCAAACAACGCCTTTAATCAAATAAACAGATCCGTCGCCTTACATAACATCCAGGTAACCTGCAAGGAAATGTCACTTTACATCATTAACACCTATAGGAGCCCCTCGAGGCTCTTTATTTGCGGCGGACGTGAGATATTATCACAGGAGGGTACGAAGCAGGGGGATCCCTTGGCCATGCCCTGGTACTCGATCAATTCATCTATCATTAATAAGAGCTTAAGGACAAGCACATCAGGTGTTAAACAAGTATGGCTAACCGTCGACTCTGCGGGGGGTAGACAAATTGTGCCGTTGTATAACTGGTACAATCACCTGAGTCAGGAAGGAAAGAAGTTTGGTTATCTAGTGAATGGATCAAAGAGCTGGCTGATTGTCAAGTCGGACGTACTTGCAGATGAGGCAAAGAGGGTGTTTGGAGATGAGGTCAATGTTACAACTGAAGGTCAGCGCCACTTAGGGGCCTTCATCGGATCTCAAGAGTTCAAAGATCAATATTGTCGGGAAAAGATCCTTAGATGGAATGGAGAACTCGAAGCACTATCTGAGATAGCAAGGAGCCAGCCTCATGCAGCCTACACTGTTTTCTCGAAGGGTTACAAATCCAAGTTTACCTATTTCATGCGCACAATAGAGTCGTTTGAAGATTACGTTGACACTATCCAAGAGGCGATGGACGACTTACTTCTCGCAACACTATTCGGTCAAACGGAGCCCCTCCCTAGTGATCTGCGTCAGCTCGCTACTTTGACACCCGCTCAAGGGAGGCTAGAAGTACCCTGCTTGGGGTTTGAAGCTCCACAGCAGTTTGCTGCTTCTACGTGAATAACGGCACCACACGTAGGTTCTATTACCACACAGAGCATGTTCATGGTGGCAGGCGAGAATTCCACGGAGGAGTTAAAAAGACAACATCAAGCCTGAAAACTGCGTTAGTGAAATCGAGAATGGAAAGTGTTGATTCCCCTCTACCCTCGGATCTGCTGCGGTCAGTTAACCAATCGAGAGACAAGGGTGCGAGCTCATGGCTTACCGCAGTGCCTCTTGTCAGTCAAGGCTTAGTGCTGAATAAACAGGAATTCAGAGACTCTTCTGCGTTTAAGTTATAATATATGCCCCTGTCCGACTTATCAAGCAAGTTTGTTTGTGGTGAGAAGTATACCGTCTGCCATGCCCTGTCATGCAAAAAAGGAGGTTTCGTGGGGCAGAGACACGATGGTGTTCGCAACCTACTTACCTCACTTATTGGTAAGGTTTGCACCAACGTTGAAGTCGAACCACAACTACAACCTCTCGATAATGAGCGATTCTACCTCAGAACCGCGGTAAAAGGCTAAGCCCGGAGGCAAGACTGGACTTTAAGGCATGCGGCTTTTGGTCTCGTGGAGTTACAGCATTTTTTGATGTCAGAGTAACGCATGTTAACTCTAAGTGCAACAAGGGAAAGAAACGTCCACAATCTTTAAGGAACAGGAGGAGCAGAAAAAGCGGAAGTACAACAGAGGGTGCTGGACGTTGAAATGGGATCTTCCACTCCGCTAATTTATTTTAACCAAAGGTGGGATGGGAGCCGACTGCAACTGCTTTCTCAAACGCCTAGCCAAGAAGCTCAGAAAAGAATGAGGAACCTTATGACATTACTATTACTTGGATTAGAACATCGCTTTCTTTGAGATTTTAAGATCCGTACACACATGCCTAAGAGGTTCTAGGACACCCTTCCACAAAATTCCACAAGGAGATTTCGTTGATGACTGCCGCTTAAACGCCACCCAAGCGTGTGTGATAATGGCGTGAGCTCGTTAATTTAGTTTAGATGTTGAAATGAACCGTTCTTTTGTTTGTTTGTTTGCTTTGTTTTAATGGAGTTTTTTCCCGAATATATAATATATTTTTAATGGGATGAATTTTTTCAATCGAAATTAAGTGTGTGCATGTCCTTTTTTTTTTTTTTTAATCGAAAGGAATAATATATTAAATAGTGCTTTGCCTGAATAGTTTTTTAAATAAAATTAATTGCAAATGGGATTTTATAGTTAGCTTTGCTATCAATAAAAGGTTTGGGTTTTACTATTATTATTATTATTATTATTATTATTATTATTATTATTATTATTATTATTATTATTATTATTATTATTATCATTTCAAGTGATACACTGTATAAAGTTTATTTAACAATTAATGAATGAGGCTGAGTATCTTATGAAGAATTATGGAGATCGAGGAGGCGGCCGAGATGGATAACATAATTCTTCATATGATACAAAAGCCACATTCAATAATTTTTTTTATTCATTCAAAATAATTCCCAGTTTAAAAACATGGCTAAAACAAGCTTACCTGCATTGATGTTAAGTTTATCTTTGATAGTCTACGTTTAGGTTTGTCCAGCTCCGCAAATATTCTCCAAGTATCAGATGTCACCCTCCGAGTTGTCTTCTTGCTATTTTTTGCCATGTTTTTAGCCATTATTTCGCCTAGTTCCAGCTGTAGTTCTTACTCTTGAAACGAGTGAAATGTCCGCCATTTTAGTTTTTACAACGAAAACAACTCAATCTCGTCCCCAGGTCTTCTCGGTTAACGGTGCATTAACTTGCAGACGGCTGCATTTTTGACGTCATTTCCTCGTTAAACACAGAATTCTTCCAAATTTGGTCATCAGTAACTGGTTATGGTGAATTATGCGTGTGCTTTTAGCCAATCAGAATTGGAGAAATATTTTGGATGAATAATAAATGAAGTTAACTTATACGACGAAGTCACTGTTCGAAGTTGTCCGCTATAGTGAGAAGTGATTCCATTTGCTCTTATTTATATGGATGGATAAAAATTGATCGCTATTTTTGATATACAAATCATGTCCATGGCCAGTGACATACAAATCATGTCAAAGAGTAAGTAAAATAATCTATTACAGCTGATTCTTAAGTCGCGGCACAAGCCGATTAATAAAATAGATTTACAAGAGAGATAAGAATTGCTCTTGCTGAAAAGAAAACAACAAGTTAATAACAGCCTGTAAACCATTCAGCTAAAACGTATGTCATGTTAGGCCCCTTTCAAACGTGGAATTTCGTATGAGTGCCGAACACCTATTTTAGTCGATGAAAGTAATTAAAAACGGTAGTTGATTCAGATGTCGGATATGATAATACGGAATTTAACTCCGTTCATTGTAAATATTCCCAGTTTGTAGGGAATTTTTTTATCCAATATGGATAAAGGTTTCTATAATTAATGCATTATATTTGGCACATGTGAAATGCTACGATTGAGCTGGGTAATGATAACAGTGTCCATTATTACTAAAATACCGGTAGATACGCTATGATACATACCACAGTTTTTATATTCCTGCAACCCTTGTTTTCAATTTACCACATTATGTTACTAGCTATATGCACCACACAGGTAAAAAAGAGAGTAAAAAAGAGATTTTGAAAAAAAAGAAAAAAAAAAAAAAAAAACGTTACGAAAAATTGACAGCAAGGGGGTTCGAACCCGGACCCTCTGACCCAGTAACAATTACACGTTCACGCCTCTGTCCACTAGACCATCGCGGTAAACTCTTACTTATTTTTTTGTCAGTTTTCAAAGTTGATTTTTCGTTTTTGTTTTTAATTTCCGTGTAGAATTAACACTTTACCCACCCAACTCTAACCTAGATTTAAAAAAAAAAAAAAAAAAAAAAAAAAAAACGTTACGAAAAATTGACTGCAAGGGGGTTCGAACCCGGACCCTCTGAGTCAGTAACAATTACACGTTCACGCCTCTGTCCACTAGACCATCGCGGTAAACACTTACAGACTTGATTGACAGTTTTCAAAGATGACTTTTCGTTTTTGCTTTTAATTTCCGTGTAGAATTAAATCTTTCACCGACCGAAGCTAGACGTAAAGCTCACAATAAGCCCATTAACACTCTTTCAGGCTTGGTCCTTGCCGGAGAACGTTTAAGAAATTTATGAACTATCAATCGCGCGGCTACCGACTGAACCGTATGACCGTAGGATACTCCCCCTGCTTGTGAGGTGTCCTTTCATCGGCCGGGAAAAAACATCAACACAACATTGTTCATCATTATTTCCATTGCTTTAAGTTAGGGTAGCAAACCATTTGGCTTTTAGGATTAGAAGAGCTGCTACATGACCTCTCTACCCGGAATGATGAAAAACAATAAGGCCGTCAAATACATCCTTTTAATTTTGAAAGTTCTCCTTTATTAACAGACGTTGAACATTTATTTCGACAAACAAACAGTTAAGTTGAAAAATAATTTTACAAAAGTCTCAAAAGAAGGTCTTCTTTTCGATTTTAATTTGCAATATCGGTCAATTTATGCAACTTTTAAACTTCTGGCTCAGTTTTCGCTTGCTTCTACTTTGAAAATGGAATAACAATTACTCAGGGGTAATACAGTGTAAAGATTTGTAGAGAAAAACAACAAAAACTTGCCAATTTATGGCGAAAATGTACTTTAAAAACAAACTAAAATATTCAAAACGCTCTGATCACGTGACTGATGACGTCATGTCCCTCTTTTGGTCAAGAGAAAAATTATCAGGTAGAGCATTACTTTCCTGCAAATTTTCTCTGCCGTGTACGTGTGATGAAACGTCAATTCTCCACAGCCCTCGGCCTAGTCTCCCGACTTATTCGCTCATGTCCATTACCCTCTTAAATTTTAAATGCCGGACGTAAACTGTTTTTTTTTTTAAATGCCTCGCACTACCAAAACCTCAAATATGCTATTTGTTTTTAACTCGATAATGAAATCTTGTCACAGCAACAAAAAAAATCGGAAAAAGTCACGTGACTAATGATGTCATCACCCTGTATGTGATATGGGAAGATATTTTATGGCAAGTGTTATCTTGTTGTGGTCTGACATTCTTCTACGTATAAAATTGTCAAAGCTATAAAGCTTTAAAAACATTGCCTCAAAGGATTCTGGGATAATTTTTTATGATAAATATAACTTACTTTTATAATTATTATTGCTATTATTATTCCTATTATCATCATCATCATCGTCATTATTATTATCATTATTATTATTCAACAATATTAACTGAGCCTGAGGTGAATAATTGTTTTAGTATATTCACACGAAGTGATCTCAACAGAATCAGAAAGGAAACCATTAAAAAACAATTAGTTTGATTGACGGGTGAATTCATGCGTCAACACGAAGCCGTAAACAGTGGATGTGCAAAATTTAGCTCTTTACAGTATCTTCAAGCATGGCAAATGATAGTTTTAATCTTTTTGTATCGAGTTTTGTAAGCTTTAGCATCAATAGTTTAAAAGAAAATGCCGAAAATTTAAATTACTACCCAATTCTGAGAAGAAAAGTAGAGCTTTATTTGTTTCTGTCATCTCACTGTGAATGAGAAAGTTTTCTTCGTCGCTTCTTGCAAATGCCTTCAACAGCGGCTACGATCAAGGCGAGCGTTGTTTATCTCCAAAGTTCTTTGCTTTGTTAACTTGCTGGCACGTACTATTTTCGAAAATATTTGCCTTCCTCTTTTCTCCATATATTAACTTCTATTTATAAGCAAAATTGGTCTTGCGAAAACAAAACAGTGTCAAAGCGACATCGTTTTCCTCTGTAGTGGTACACATGGCTTCGAGCGTACAAAAAGTCAGCTACAGTAAACCACTTCACAATAAAACACGCTGTTTAAACACCATGAAGTCTTTTCTTGCCTTCAAAGTCATCAGCACTTGGATATTCGTGTATATTTGCAAAAAGGCTTTACTATGAAACTTTGGGAAAACACGTATTTCACGACAGCGATTTTGTTCTGCTTTATATTCACCGTCTTGCGCGGTGAATATAACGTCATTGTCCGAGATATCTAACCAATCAGATTCTTTGAATTACCAAGATCACTGAGTGTGTATATACTAATATTATTTAGTACATTTTTAGGGTGCCAACGGTGGAAAACTTTTAATGAGAAGTTTAAAAATGCAAATGTCCCCCCGTGTAACAACTTTAAATGTTGTATTTCTCTCTAGCTCCTGGTAGTGCTCCTAGAAATATAACCTTCTCTGAAGTAACAACAACACAGTTCAAGGTTACTTGGAATACTCTTCCTCAGAGGTTTCACAATGGCCGATTGTTGGGCTATAGAGTTTACTTCAGGAGGAGCGCCTATTATCCATATCCATTTAATACAAGTGGTGTAGTCACCAGCAGTCCTAATGTGACCTTAGCATTGATAACAGGGCTAGGACCGGCTCAGCGATATGATGTTTCTGTGGCGGCGTTTACAGCCAAGGGCGAAGGGCCGCGTTCTTCTCGTTACTATGTTACAACAGGTAAAATATTATGAAAAATGTTAATTTTGATGTTAAGATAACGTTTTATTCCGCAACAGTGGCTGCATACATCAAAAGAGAGTGTAAGAAAAAAAAGAAAAAAAAAAAGAATGCAAAATAAACGAAAAAGAAAGACATTGGTACTCCCCCAAAACTTCACATGATCTCCCGCCCCTTTGGGTTCCCAAAGAGTGTACACATTTGAAACAACGGCCTTTTTCCCTACTCGGTAACCATCTGCTGTTATATATACATTTGAGCAGCGATAATGAATCATGAAATGATCAATTCTGAAATAAACTGTGCAGAATTAAAAGAGCTCTGTATTGTATCTTACATGTAGGTGATAAAGGTCCGTACTGGACCTTTTTGGAATTTTGTCTATTCGTGTCCGTTGCGAAAATGTTGAAATGTTTAGACATGGCATGCTCTCAACAATTTTGGCATTCCTTCTACAAATTAATGTCAGTCGGGATAAAGTTCAAGATCGAAGGCGATATAACAGAGAGTTATTTAACGAAAAATGATACTAAATTTTGACATTGGTGTCAGTTAAAAGTAAAAAACGTCTTCGTTTACTTGCCGTCCAATAAAATATTCAAGAAGATCCTTGCATACACATAAATAATAATACGTACACACAATAACCAAAAGTATAAATAATCGTTATGGCGACCTAACCAAAGTAGTCCCATCTCGTTTTTAAATTTTCAGGTGAATACATTGACATATTGATATGGGATCAAACAACAATCGTGATAATTATTGACAAATACTGGCATTAAGTTCCCTGAAATTTGAAAATAAGCAATACATACAATTGTTCTCCTCTCTAGTGGTTGTGAAATATTATTCACTTTAGATGATAGAGTCACCTTGTAAAAGTGTATCCCCAGTGCTTTTATCCAGCGCTAAAAGCGCGAACTCCTAGGAATAGTCTTCAACATTATCTCACTATTGGTATTTTGTTTCCTAATCGTCGAGTCTTAACAGCTTGCAGGGTAGCGGTCAATCAATCATATGGTGCTATAAGTGTGACACATTCCGATTACACAAGTCTATACTGCTTCTGGTCAATCGGGAATGCCGAGATCCCTCAGGCAATTGGTCTCTTTCTAATCCAGGAGATCACTTTTGGTTACTGCAGGTATTCATTTTTATTGTTACTTTACTAAATCCCATGCGACTCAGTGCCAGTGTTGGGGACCATATTAATCATGATTGAATTCTGGAGGGAAGGAAACGCTTTTAAGTGGTTTAAAAACCTTGGTTAATTGCAAGACCTTATAAGTTTGGCTAGTAGTACAGCCTTTAATGTTGTTATTCAGTTTGAGTAGCTTTTAATATGTGCTGAATTGGACTAAGAGGTAAGTAAGAGGAGCAGTAAAACGGGACATGAAAGTTCATAGATTATCTACTTCGAGTGCTTGTCCGTGAACATACTTTCATATCTTGTAAAGAAAATGAGCAGGAATAAATTCTGTTAACGACCTGATACATATTCTGTCACGTAGATATTACAGCCGTGAATATTTCAAGATTTTTGACGGCAATGAGGCTCTAAAATTTCACCAAAGCGGCTGCTCCTCCCACTTTGTTCGTGGATCAATGGTAGAGGTTCCGTTCTTTTACTCAAACAACATAACAGCACGTTTCTACTTACGTCGATTGAGAAGTGCTATCAAGGCTGATTACCTGATACTGGGGAAAAGCCTTCATGCAGGTAAACCCCAATATCGATCAATTGCATGTCAAAAAACTCATCAATTCCAGCACTTACTTTGGCTTCATTGCCTTCAAAGCCCTTATAGTATACGGAGCCAACTTCTCTTCGAAATGACAGGGTCGGTCGGTCAATTCTCACTTTTGTTAAGGGTCCTGACATAATACATCACTTAAAAGCAAGAAAAAAGAGAGTTAATCATGCGGTAACTGTACATATTTTGAGGAAAGATTACAGCAACTTCATCATATATACTGTCTGTTTTACCTTCTTATTTCTTAAAATATGGTTTGACGCTAGTTTCCCGTAGGCAGTAGTTTCCCTTTAGTTCAATTTGATGCTTACTTGGCCAAGTAGACTTTTACTTTGAAGGATTTTTCTACCTCTTTTTCTCGTTGTGAATAATTACCACCTCTTAAGCTACGTACAACTTTTGACCGATTTCAAACTTTGCGCAACAACTGCCATTAACACGCAACAGCATGCAACACAGGGTTTGCAAACGGACGCACCATGTAACATTCAGCAATGTTGGAAGTTGTTGGACAACAACGTTGCGTCTGTTTGCAAGGGGCTTTAGGTGACAATTTGTTTGATTATTAATTTGGTTAATTATTTCGTATATTTAGCTCAAGTGCTTTATGGCTGGAATTTAACAGTGGTGAAAACCACCTTTTCAAGCATATTGATTCGGTGGGTTAACCTTACCAGCCTTCTCAACCGTAAAGTTGGTCAATACGTTGTCTTCTTAAACAGAAGAAATAAGAGTGTAGCATTCCATCAGGTTGTCAATGGGGATCAATTAACAGCGGAAATCAGCGGACTCACTCATTTAACAAATTATACAGTGGAAGTCGTTGGGATTGACACTCTGCGGAAGCCATACAAAACTCCATCAGAAGCAATCATGACGGCAAACCGTAAGAGTAAGTACTTTATGTAGGGTACCGTAAGTGAGGAAACGCCGCGATTTTTCTATATACATGGCTATATATGGTAATACATAGCAGTACATGGTAATACATGGTTATAGATTGCAATACATGGCAATACATTCTAATACATGGCAATACATGGCCATATATGGTAATAAATAGCAGTACATGGTAATACATTGTTGTACATGGTAATACATGGCAATACATGCCTGTACATAGCAGTACATGGTAATACATGGTTATACATAGCAATACATGGCAATACATGCTAATACATGGCAATACATGGCCATATATGGTAATAAATAGCAGTACATGGTAATACATTGTTGTACATGGTAATACATGGCAATACATGCCTGTACATAGCAAAACATGGTAATACATGTTCCTCTTATTGTTCCTCTTAAAATCGGATTTGGATTTTCCCAAAAAACGCACCCTAAGTAATTTAAGAGAAAAATAATTTGCAAAGAGTCCAAGAGTGAAACAAATCTTACGTCGAGTTTATAGCCTTATATGTTCACCCAAAAAATAGCAATAGATTACAGTCAAGAGCATAAAAGTATCAATGGCTCTAGATCACAATAAGCCTGGAAAACAAATTCTTCCCAAACAGAATAACCCAGTCATCCACCTACACCACCTTTACCTGTACTTAATAAGGTTAATTGGACAGCACCGAAATTTGATTTGTGCTGGTCCTTGTTGGCAGCCTATTTACGCGTTGTAATTTATAGGTTACAGGGGCGTAGCCAGCTTTTCGACTAGTTGTTGGCCTGCACGGTCCTCACCAACACGTTGACCTCTTATGCTTTTTTAGCTGTTTAACTGTGACATAAGACGAATCGAAACGCACCAATTACTGATTACGAGTCTACATAGCCAATAACATCACGGCTTAACTGACAGACAACATCGCGACGTAATTTACCAATCAGGTCAATAACCAGACTATAATACCATCAACTGACGTGATTCAACTCACTTTGACTCTGTAGATGACTACCGCACAAGTTGACCTAATTTGACCTAATCCGGTTTTAATTTTTCAAATCAACTTCCCTTAAATGCTCACAGCATAGGGTTGATTGTTTCTATCAAACATATTTTAAACTGGTTTAAGATCTTGTACCCTTTGCCATTACAGAAAGGCTGTAGACAGTATCTGCAACGGGAAAAAACGGACAGACATTTCACTTACCCATATTTTTCTTGGATCT